CAATTATTGACACCAAAAATGGGCAGAAGTTTGAAAATACCGATTTCTTGCAGGGTTGCGATGGGTCTGTGCTCTTGAACTCAACCAATGGAATCAAAGCTGAAAACGATGCAGTCCCTAATCTATCACTTGCAGGCTTCGATGTTTTGCAAGAGATCAAGGTCTTGATAGAACAAGCCTGTCCTGGCATAGTCTCTTGCGCAGATATACTTGCTTTGGCAGCACGTGATTCCGGTGACTATTCATCCAATATTTCATGCTATAACTTCATACTCTTCTAATTCAATCATTCGAGAACACACACATGTATAGACATACATACATGAATATAACATAAAGGCATACAAAATATATACATGCATGCATACATATATTAGAGATATTCCACGTCATCTAACCTAATGATTGCACATGCAGTCCAGGAGACCCATGTGGGAAGTGCTGATAGGAAGAAGGGATGGAAATGTTTCCCTTGCCTCTGAGGTGAAAGGCAACATACCTTCTCCTTTCCAAAACTTTACCAGTCTTCGCCAAAACTATGAAAACAACGGCCTCACAGTTCGAGACCTTGTTGTACTATCAGGTAGGTTTGCTTCTGCAATTCAATTCAATATCCTAATCCATATGCAAAGGATAAATGCTCCTAGAACAGCAACAGTAAGAAAAACAAGGACAAGAGAGTGATGAGGGAAAGGAAAGGAGGTTCAAAACAATCATGAAGAAGCCTAACTTTTAAGTGCTTGGATAGGGGCACATACCATCGGAGTTGCACACTGTGGTACCTTCAATAGAAGGCTTTACAACTTCACTAGAAAAGGCGATGCGGATCCTCAACTCAACCCAATGTATGCAGATTTTCTCAGAACAAAGTGCAAAAGCCTAACTGACACCAATACCCCAGTCGAGATGGACCCAGGAAGCTCCTCGTTTTTCAGTAGCCATTACTACTTGATTCTTCAGCAACACATGGGGTTGTTCCAATCAGATGCAGCACTCCTGACTGATGAGGACTCGGGCAGAATAGCAAATGAATTGATGGACAAGGAAACTTTCTTTGAGGAATTTCAATCATCAATTATGAAGATGGGTGCCATTGGAGTACTTAACGAAAATGAAGGAGAAATAAGGAAGATATGCAGCATGGCGAATTCCTAAAGCCTAAAGGAGAAAAGGATAGAGCAGAATGCCAAATAAGCATTAATTGTGTCAATAAATATTTGTGTTCCCACGTGTGCTTTTTTTATAGATTTGATGGCTTGCCAATTCTGTTAATGGTACATAGCATGCATTGCAAAAAAAAATGGATTAATAGCTACCGAACTACAACCACACTCCAAAATTTATAATACAAGGAGAAAGGGACAGCACGAGAGAGCAATAGAAATAGAAAAAGAAAAAGAAATGGACTGCAGTCAACAAAGACGAAACCTTGTGTACATCAGAACCATGCTTTACTCATCCATATGGATGGTGCCGATGACGATCCTTCTCTCGTGAAGAAAAATACGAGGAGCTGTGGTAATCGCTGCGATCTGAACACACACACACAGGCACACATGCAGCAACATCAGAGAATGCTCATCTCCCTTGAGAAAAAAGGAGGTCATGAATTGCACAATATTTGTAAATAACCACTTATCCATACTAATCAGGAAAAGAAATCTTAACAACAATTGAATGAAGAAAACAAATACCAAACATACCTCTAGACGAATGATGTCTTGACTTCTCAGAATGACCTGCATTATGTTTTAAGAGAAACATAAAAACACCAATCACTATTTGGAAGGTACTAACAATGAAATAATCGACAGTCAACCAGCACCGCATGACCAGAAAGAAAAGGGGAAACAAGGAACAGAGGATAAGCAAACCCATAACTACACATACCAGACAAAAAATTGAGTTGGAGCAAGTATATGTTTCAAAACAAAATGGGGAGTAGAAAAACAACTGGTCACAAGTAATTACCAGAATCTTTTCCCTTTTCTTTGCTTCTATGGCTTCTATCCTTGTGCTTCTCTCTGTCCCTTTCAGTATCTTTGTCACGACCCCTGTCCCTCTCCAAGTCCCTGCTCCTTCCACGGACACGGTCTCTGTCACGGTCCCGAGCCTTTGACTTCTCTCTCTCTTTTTCTTTGCTTCTCTCTACATGCAAATCTGCTCTATGATCCGCCTTTGTCTTAACCCCACCCATCTCTTCTTTCCCCTCATTATCAACAGTGACACCTTCGGTATCATCCTCACCTTTCTTCGACTCCTTTAGTTTGTCCAAGGCTAGTTTCCTAAGGACTTCCTTTCCTCCACCTATCTCAGCATTTGTGGGTCCAGACTGAGCAGCACCGTTACTATCATGTGTGTTTGGAGCACCATTCAACAAGCTTTCCTGTTAAATCCAGCACGCATGTTCTAGGTCACATACCAACAAGTAATGCATGTAATATCTCATTCTAAAATGAAAATGATTGAGATTTTTTATATTAATGATGAGATTCTAGCGTCACCTTAGCCACAGGAGTTTGGGAGTCCGAAGGCTTGTTGGTCACTACAAATGACTCACTGTCTTTGCAAACAGATATGTATTTTGCCTTAGGAAGGGAATAGATGTGGGCAAGGACTCTACAAACTTCATCAATCTCAGGTTTTTCGGCATTAAAGACTTTCCACCATGGTGGGTTCTCTGGAAAGGGGACCTGGAATCGGCGAGCAGCTGCATATACAACCCCACATGCTACAACTTCACTTTTAAACCGAACGCACAAGGTTGTCCGCAAACTGCAGAAACGAAATCAAGACAACATAAGTTTGGGAATAAACAGCAGACAAAAACACTATAAAAACCTCGTGTTCAAGAGCAACACAGTCCTCGCATTCAATATCTGACACAAATGAAATTTGTAACATATAATATTAAAATAAATTCTGATTGTTGGCATGGCCCTTGCTAGAGTGGAATGGCGCAACAAAATTCGTGTAACTGACTCCAAATAGTTGGCATAAGACTCGGATGATGATGATGATGATAATATTAAGATAATTATTACTATACAAAAACAGTTATTACAATTGTATGAATGGAATATTAATATTTTAAATATATGTAATTGGAATATATATGTCGGTATACAACATACATATTATCATATTATAAAATTATAAATAATATTATATACTAAGCATAATCAACTACTGTAATTAATATCACAATTATTGTGGTATTCTTAATTATAAAATATATCAATGACATATTTATAATATATGATCGAAAAGATAATATCAAATTATAATACTTATAATAATATTTAATATTTATACAATTATTGTAGTATTATTAGTTATAACATATATCAATGACATATTTATAATCTATGATCAATAAAATAATATCAAATTATACTACTTTAATATTTATAATAATATTTAATACTTAATACTTTAATACATTAATAATTTAATACTTATAATAATCAAAACTACAAAAATGCAAATATAAATAACAAAAAAAGATTTATTTGATTCTCTAAAGATTATAATTTTATAGTAATGCTTTCAATATAATAGTGTTGTTCATTATTAGAAGTTTATTAAACATAATTATATTTAGAGTAATGATCCTATGAGACCCTCCCACACCCATGTGTGTAGAACCCCAAAGGATCATCATTAAATTTGGCACAGATCTCTAGAAAAGTCAAGTCCCACACCCATGTGATAACTTTTCTAGAGATCTGTGTCAAATTTAATGGTGATCCTTTGGGATCCTACACACAGGTGTGGGAGGGTCTCATAGGATCATTACTCTTATATTTATCATATATTATTATTAAATATAATTATATTTATTAAATAATATTATTAAAAACTTATTACAATTCAAATTAAATACTATTGATTTGATTTCATGAAAAACATCATAAAGTTATAAACATAGCATGTGTTCGAATGTAGAGCTCACACCATGGTACAATTACCACATATATTAATACTGTAATTACAGTATATTATAAAGAAAATAATAACAATCCAAATACAACAAGATAATTGATATTATAATGATAATTATATAACTATAAATAATACAACCAAATCACTTTTATTATAAGTTTCTAAAAAACATTGTTCATATAAAAATCCATTATTTTTTAACAATATTAAATATAATCTCATTAGTTATAAGTATGATAATTTTATAGATAATTCTTACAGATTGTAATTATTAGAATATTAATACATACAAACATTATTAACAATATTAATAGCAAAAACTTTTATATTGTAATGAATATATTTACAATTACAAAAATAATAAACTCATAATTAAATATTGTGGATTTATTATAATCATATATGTATAATATAACTTCGCCACGGTCGGTTCCAAGCCCGTCATGCCGGTCCCAAGCCCGGATAAAGGAAGAGGGTTGTATTAGGTAGGGCAGCCAAAGTAAAACTTTGCCACATCTTTTCATGATAGCCGACCCCAGATAGTTGGGGTAATGCTCGGATGATGATGATGATGATGATGATAATATAGAATTATTAATTACAAATCCATCATCATCATCAGAGCCTTTTTCCTAACAAATTGGGGGCGGCTATACGAATCTTGGTCCGCCATTTTGTTCTATTAAGGGACATGCCCTCAGTAAAGCCATAAGTCCCCATATTTTGTCTCACTACTTCCAACTATATCCTTTTGGGCATGCACCTTGCCCTTTTTGAGCCTTCTACTTGAACTAACCCGCACCTCCTAATAGGTGTTGTACTGGGTCAGCACTGCATATGACCAGCCCACCGAAGTCTATTTTATCTCATCTTATCACCTATTGTTGTCATACCTAAATTCTCCCGAATGTATTCATTTTGATTTTTATCTCTTCTTGTCTTGCCACTCATCCATCTCAACATCCTCATCTCAGCTACACTCATTCTACGGATATGTTATTTCTTGACCGCCCAACATTCCGCCCCATAACATAATGAACTAATTACAAGAGACGCAGTATGTATTACAAGAGATGCTATTCTATCACATATTAATGTCTGCATGCATGCACCCAGCAGATGATGTTTTATGCCTCATATAAATTGCTTCTTGCTTTCTGAAAAAATGTTTAGTGTTTTGCAACTATTTTTTTAATATCATTCATTGATGTGATAGTGTTGTTCTCTACAACATTACTGAACGAACAAATAGTACATCTGAAAGGGCATCGCAGTGATGGAAAAGGCTCCCAAACACACACACACTTAAATCCGGCCTCAAGGGCCTTTTATGGGTTAAAACATTGGCATCCTAATGGACATGAGAAAATGAAACCTAATAAGGAAATGGAAATCCCAGGGTTCTTGTTCACAACCCAAAATCTTCTACTCCTAAACAAAGACACATAAAATTAAGTGTCCTAATATTGTCTAGAAGACATCTCCAAACCTCCTTGACCCACTCGGGAAAACTCAATTCACTAAATTGGTCCCACTATCTTGTAGGGGGTACCCTCTCAAAACCCCTAAAACTCTCAGCCAGTCCTCAAGAAATAAGGTGCAACCCAAATAGTTCACCACAACAGCTCTTCTCAACCCAGCTACTTAAAATATTTAACTACTTAAATACTCCGCTCTCTCCAGACACCCCAGAAAATAACGTATACAACATGTCATAAGATACATACCTACTCTTACAAGGGCCCCCTAACCATGAAAACCAGCTTAGGAGAACTCGGACATCACCTAAGCAAACACAAAAAGATCAAGGGAGTACTAAAGACCCTTGCCCTGGATCAGGCAAACATGCATTAGGAATGTATTTTACCATTCTTCCACCTACCTTCACATCACACATAATTTGGAAGTTGAAGACCCATGATCTAGATGGGACAAAATAGAATACATTGTCTACAAGTCAGATTACTGACCTTGCTCGATGCAACTGCTGCACCACTTCAATATATTATCTTGTGCCCTAATGCTACCTAAAAGAAAGGAATCTTTTGGGATAAGGAATCTTTTGGTATCCCAACTGAAGTGCATGAACAATTGCAGGTATGTGAAATCAAGTAGAAAATTCCAGGCTTGTACAACTTGTATATGCATTTGTATATCCATACAAGCAACAGAGAACATATGAAAGCTTTGGAATATTCACAAGCTTCTAATAATATGGATGTGATCTGTCATTACGTGTGATTATCTCTACTATTAATATATGCTGTAAGTAATGTAGCTGCGTTTTTTGTGACTCCTAAACATGACATATAAAAAATAAAATAATGATCCTTCTTTTGCATTAATTTGGAATTCAGAATAATCGTTCTTGTCACTAATTGTCATGTATTGCTCTGGGGAATGACTCCCTGCCAAACTTCAGTATAAAGGCAGAAGATGTTAAAAGTCATGGGTGTCAATGGCTTAAGAGAACAAAACAGCAGCTTTGTGATGCTTCAGGAGTTAGTAGAGAATAATACGAGACATGAACAGAGGCTTAGAGCGGTCGGGAAGCAATATACTAGATGCAGGATTTCAAACCTGCCGAAGTTGAGACCATGATCATGCTCCCGCATTTCAATGTGGATCTCTTTCTTTTTTTGGGAAACCACTCATAAGGCCCCAGCTATTTACCATATTCATCTTTTTCTTTTTTAATGATTAAATAACTACCATCTCCATCATAGTAGAATTTACATTTCCTGAAATTCAATATATGTTTCATTTTTCTCTGTGTATGGGGCTTAGTTCTAGATCTTTTCGAACTTCAAAGAGATCTAGGTGATGTTATTCACAATTCAGAACCAACTTGCCTCCCATCTCCCCAGCCCCCACACCCCACAAAAAAAAAAAAAAACTGGATCCAAAGAGGTTACCTCTGGTGGAAATTATAAGGAAAATATTGTTTGGAAGCTGATGAAAGCACAATCTTTCAGATAAAGTGGGAGGATGCAATTCCAAAGAGGAAGCCTAGGGAAATGATCGCAATGCTGGTAATAACTGACAAGGAGTTAGCATACGCGGAATATCCTCAAAACAGCTATCATTCTATCAGGATTTACTGAACTTCCTCTACTCATACAAACAACAAAGTATGTAAACATTTAGCAGCCAATCTAGTATCACAAACCCTTGATTCCCTCAAAGTTGACAGCCAACCCCATATACCTCAAAAAGATTATTTGACATGTTAATGTACAACACAAACAGGGGCAAGTTCGTTACAATTGAGAGCATGTTATGGTTCTTCAGGAGATTGGATAGTGTACACTAAATTTTTCTTCCCACAAACAAAAGTACATTGCAAAAGCCATAAAGGACAAAATAAAGCTAATCCAAATTATGAGAAAGTATGCATATATAGTAGATAGGTGGACCAACAGAATATAGCTTGTATTCTACCTGTCATTGCCAAGATTCCACGCCTCTTGCTTCAGCTCCTGGTGATCTGCAATGTCAAGCGCCTTAAGATAGCTCAAGATGAACTTGTGAGGATGTTCTACATGACAAATAAATCCCATCTCCTTCAGTAAATGACGCTCTGTTTTATTTAAATCCATTTTCAGCTCTGCATACTTCTGGAATGCACCCAAGCGGCAATTTTTTAATAAGTTGGTGCTCAAATAACATTTCAACAAATTCAACATAAATCAGAATTTTACAGCTGAATGGTTGCAGGAAAGGATACAAGAAAACGAATGCTGCATTTGATTGAATAACATAGACAAGAAACCAGGAAAATCTAAGAATAATGTTTTCAAATTCACATTTTTAGAGTTAGGATAGATATGAAGGTCAGAAACACATATGATGCGGTTTGCATGAGGCACCCACCTTATTCTATACAAGTAAGGCACACCCTAAATTTTGCAAAAAGATGCAGTTCCAGTGTCTGAAACCTTACAATGGCTTGAAAGTCTATGTTCAACCCAAGTTATGAAATTTAGAAGTCCAAAAATAGTGCAAATCAAAAGATCTTTAAACACTTGCAAATCTTGAAAATAGCCAGTCTAGATAACTGGTTACAAGATGCATTATTTTTAGAACTAGAAATTCTTCTTCTTTTTTTACTACATGCATATATCTTTTTTTTAATACATGCATATATCTCAAGGTCAATATGATCAAATTGGAAGTTTTTCCAACTTTGCGAACACTTTGTCATACAAACATTTTTCAAACATACATTATGATCCTTATAATCAAAGGAAGAAGAAGAAGATCACATAGGGCGACCCAAAGCTAATCTACCTCCGCCGCCTGTCAACCACCCACCCCCAACTTCCGTTAGTAAAATCTACATCATTTAGGCCCTTCCCACCCATCATCCTTCCCAACATCCACTACCCTAGCAGCCTCTATACACCTGTCCCCATCGCACTTCCCATCAATATTTTGTGCCAGACCCTTCCTTTCCTCAGCTTTCTCACTCTAACTCCCACTCATCAAACCTCAAAACCCCCACTCTCCCTGCTTCTAAACCCTCAGCAGAGAATTTATAGAGAAGCTCAGGAATCCTACCACCACCACCACTATATATGCCCAATATTCAAGCACCAACCATTCCACAAATCCCAAGCACATACTACAACAATCTCAGCTCCCAGTCCACCCATTGTACTATGACACAACCCAAAGTCACCCAAGAAGCCCCCTGATATAGTGCTGCCCCATCTCTATGAAGAGCACCATCACCTAATTAGACCACAACTACAAGCTCAGACCTTCATCCACAAGTAAGGAAGGGCACTCCTGCCATAAACTTTCAGTGAGCTCCTTAAACCCGACAACCCAACTGCATCAGGGACTGGTAACCTAAACAGATTCCACAAAACTCATTTTCTCCAGCTAGCCCCTGGGTACCCAATGACCAACAACTACCACAAATCATGCTCCAGACTGTGCTACAATCTCTAGAGTCATCTCAGTTCCAAAGGAAATTATCACAGAAAGACTGAATCTGCGAGATGGGGTTTGTGTTGGAGTCTTTTCACCAGCAAAGCATGACAACAAAGGCGTTACACGGTGGATAAGACAAGTCTTCAAGCTTCCCTTCCTGCTCTGTAGCAGATCAGAGGACAACGGCCTACTTTTCACCTTTACCACAGCCAACAATGCTAGTGAGGCCCCTAGATATAATGGCCTATCTTTCATAGGCACCTGGCTACATTTATCTCCATGGACACCAGATAGAGGAGCTCTCAAGCAAATGAAGATATGGATATGGATAGAAGGAATCCCTCTATACGCTAGCCATTTGGAGACATTAAAATTGATCAGCAATAAGTGCAGGAGTTCCATCCAGGTGAAGAGGAAAACCCTGGAGTCTGCACCAATGGGATCTCTACACATTCTAATCAACCTGACAGACCCAATCACATCCCTGATTCACTCATCCTACAGATGGCCCAAAATGAGTTCAAGAGGCCCATCAATCATAACTACCAGCACTCTGATAGAGAACATAAATCAGCTTCAGATCGGCCTCGCAATTTCAGAATGCGAAGCACCAGAAAACAGACCGTAGGCATGATATCCAGGACCAGGATAAAAGGGAATGACACACAGCGGTCAGGAAAACCACAAAACACCGCAACAAAGAGGATAGAGGAAATTATCGTCGACAAAATTTTGGCAGCCAAAACCGCAAACCAGCAGATATAAAGGTGATCTTGAACAAAGTAAGCCCACCCAACAAATGGGAAACAGCCAAGTGGAACATCCCAAACAGCTCAGCCATAAAATATCCCACCAGTTTCCTCATATCCTCCATTACCCCAGAAACCCCTAACCTTTTATCAATTCCAGGACATACTAAATTTCAATTTTAAATTTCGAAATTCACCCCCGCCCAACACCTCTATTCCTCTAGTGTGTTCTGCCAAGTTGCCCGATCTACCATCCAGCCAGAGGAAACGTACGCACCATGACTCCCAACCTTTAGCCAACCACACCCCTATGATACCTGCATCCCTGAGTACTTTGCTAGCCCCCGATATACCGTCTGCTCGAGTCCCATCTCATCCAACTTTTCCAACAGAGCCACCCCCCCCTTTCTCCCAGGCACCACTCATCCAGCAGCCGCTGCAAACCGAAGATTACAACATCTAGGAGCCCTGAAGAACCTACCCATAATACCTCGGCCAGAAGCACCTCCTCCCATAGAGACAAGTACTCTCCCAAGGAAACGCTATAGAACCGACCATTCCCTATAATCTAAGCCCACACCCGATGACCAAGATTGCCAAAGAAGCCAAGAACCCAAAAGTTAGGCTCATGCCAGATGAGCTCCTGGAGTATGCACTCCCCTTAAATCACCTCTGGTGAATAGCCGAGACAATGTTCTAAAGGCGCGCAGATGCCTGGGTGCCCCTTTTTTTTCTAGGGGGGGGGGGGGGAGGAGAGAGACCATAGGGGTCCATGGGAGGCCCCACATCAGACATTTGGCGGCTGTGTCTTCTTTTTTTCTTCTTCTTATATGTAGAGCAAGTGCTCGCATTGAACACTTGGATGTCGTCGTCTTCTCTCTGTTCTTATATGTAGAGAAAGAGAGAGAACATATGGGTTTGTGTGTGTGCACGTGTGTGAGAGGGAGAGTTCTTGCATAGAACACTTGAAAATCATCTTCTTTTTTTCTTCTTATATGGAGAGAAAGAGAGAGAGGCCACATGGAACCGTGAAAGAGAGAAGGGCCTTGCATCAAACACTTGGAGGTCATATTCTTCTTTTTCTTCTTATAGATAAAGAGAGCACATGGGTCCGTGTGTGTGTGTATGTACACACACAGCTCGCATCAAACAATTGCAGAGAGGCCTTACACCGAACACTTGGAGGCCATCTTCTTTTTTTGCTTATATGTAGAGAGAGAGACGCCTCGCATCAAACACTAGGAGTCCGTCTTCTACCTTTTCTTCTTACACGTAAAAATAGCGAGAGAGAGAGAGGAAAGACGGGCCTTGCATTGAACACTTGGAGGTTGTCTTCTTCTGTTTCTTTATGTAAAGAGAGAGAGCATATGGGTCTATGTGTGCTTGTGTGTGTGTGAGAGAGAGAGAGAGAGGTGCTTTCCATCAAACACTTGGAGCCCTTGGCCGGGACCTTTTTTTGGCCAAGGGCTCCATCTGACCACTTAGACAGCCCTAGGGCACCAAGGCAGCACCCTACAACACATCCAAATACGAACCCGGCCAAGGTCCATTTGGTTTGGATAGTCCACTAGTCCACTTAAGCAGCCAGTTGGATGAATTTTCATTCATTTGGCTGAGAATCTCACATGTAGGCAATTCATACCTTATCTACCAGATCAAACAGCCAACCCTCACCCTGAACAAAGCTCCAACAGCCCAACACGTCAACCTCTAGCCATGGAGGGACTAGGGACCTGAAACGTCAATGATAGACCTGCAACCACAGCAAAAGGAAGGACGACTCGGACCTGATGCACAGTAGATATCATCTTGCCCAACAATCCCACTTAAACTCCTCATGTGTCCCCCCTAGCCTTCCTCTCTTCTCCCTCTCTTTGCCTGAGATGCCACCCACTGTCGGCATCAGCCCTCCCCTCTATCTTTTATCTTTTCTTTCTTTCTTTCTTTTCTTTTTGTGTGCGTATTTCTTTTCTTTTTGTGTGTGTGTGTGTGTGGGG